AGTTCTGCCCATCAGAGGCCAACACTAACCCAGATGGCATCAAAAGGCCAAGGGGAGGGGGTAGAAAAAAAAATGTAATGAAATTCTTTTTGTTTCTGATGAGACATTGGGAGTGTCTTTCAACAACACACGTACAAACCAGTTCTATCCTATAAGATCCAGCCACTTCAGCACTGGTTTTGGGTGGAACAGCAGTTTTCATGTGTGTTCTTCAGCTATACGACCTTTAACATAGCCGAATTTTTAAGGCTACCTCTCAACAACCGAAAGCATCAAGGACTGCTACTTCTTAAGCAACCTTCACAGTTTGCCACGGTCAAAGTAAAAGATTAAAATTATTTTCTAAAGCTTACGAATGCCAGCTCCTTTTATACAGCTCGCTGTGGAACACCTAAACAGAACAGCGGTGTTCTAACAGTACAACTTTTCCCAAACACACTTTTCCCCCTTTCTTCAGAGCAAAACAGTTATACTTGAGGTGAAAGTTACTGAGTAGGTTCAGGCATCTTTTGAGAATCTGGCTTGACTAATGTAACTTGAATTCAAAAAAATTTATGTGCCTTATCAAAAAAAAAAAAGAGTTAATTACTGGGATTACATTACTTCACACGCACCCATCTACTGGTTCTTAGCACTTACGCTTTTATTTTAAATTGAGATAATTTTGGTATTTAAACAAACAAGTTAACGGGCAGGCAAGATAAAAAACCATTGCAATCAAAAGCCTCTACACAAGTATTAGTCCACGCCTACGCATCATAACACAGTAAAATTACTTTACAGGTATGCTGGATCAATGTAAGCTGAACATAATGAAGAGCTGATGATTATCAAGAAGTAGGGACTTAGACATGCTTAGCAATCTAGTATTCCTCTGAAAATCTGACACTCTTCTGCTAGACCCCAGTTTGGCTGCCTCTGCATGCGAAAGGATGCAGAGGGGACCCTTAAAACAAAACCAGAAGGGGAAAACAAAAGCCACCTGCTTTGAAAAACTGTTACCATGTGCCAGGCATCCACTTGCCAAGGGAGTGGCAATATTTATGAGCTTTCCCCACACTGGCCAGTCCTGATACCGCAATCAGGGCTCAAGAGTTAATGATTTCCCCCTGTGAAAACTGCAGCGAGCCAAGCCGCAGGGCTGGGCTCTGTCCTTGATCAACGCTTGCAACCTGTTATTCATCCAGCCCTGCAACATCAAGCACAGAACCCCTCAGGTGAGACTGGGAGCACAAGGTCAATATTTCATTTCAGGTTCATTTTCCTCCTTCCTGCAGGGCTGGCCCATTCAGTGAGCTCTGAAGGCTCGTATCTTGTTACTGCATGGAGGCTGTAACCATAGCCAGCTGCTGGCAAGAGCCCAAGCAACACTCACTCACTGCACAGCCCATTAACCCTCGTCATTCCAAACTGACGCCAGCAGAACACCAAATTTCACAACCATCTCCACAATGTCCTTTGTTTTGTACCCACGGCTCCATTATCTGAAGAAAAAACATAAAGAACCTGTCCAGGCTGTGGGATTCCATCTTTAACACCACACCTTTGCCAACAGTTTCTGTTGACCATTCCTTTTCCTTTCCAAGGAGAAGGCTTTGTTTCTGAAGTGCTTTTAAGACAGCTGATCATCCCTGAAGTGATTTTGGTCACCAACAAATATGTTCTATTCCAGAGCCTGAGCACATCCTCCCAGAGTGAAATTTGGAAGAGTAATTAGTTTTACCTAGATCTGAATCTCCCCTTTTCCATGAGTCCCTGTAGCACCTCACATCCTGTACCGCATTTCAAAGTATCTGACTCTGATACTTAAAAAGCAGGACTCTGCTTTCTGCTGCAAGCAGACACAGTTTAGGACTGGTTCACAGGTTCTCAGTAACAGAGGATCCCATGGGCCAAAAGTTCGCTCTGGAAGAGTGCTTTCAGATGACTGATCAAGATCAACAAGGGCATACTCCCTGGAACCAAGACAAAAACCTAAGATAAATATAAACACCACAAGGTGGGGTAGAAAAACCTCTCCCCATTGGGGCTATGTGAGGCAGGCTCCAAATTCCACTCTCCCCACCATCACTTTGCCAGACAGTTTTTCCATCATTTCCCATTTTCGATCTCCTCAGTCTACAACCACAACTGACACCAACTGACCCTTCCGGAGGTTTAGTGTGTGGTGCTGTCCAAGTGCAGAATGCGGCCAAATCACAGGACACACCAGCAACAAGGGAACTGCTCCTCCACACAGCCTGGCTTAAGTGTCCTGGTCAATTATTCAAGATGATCTCAAAGCAGTTGGTTCACAATACGTGCAAAGAGGCAAACACTAAAAAAAATGCTGAGTGCACATTCAGGGCTTGAAAAGACTATGATTAACTGATGGAATTGCAATGGTTTTACCTCATTTGTGCATTTTAAAGGATTTACCTCTGCATACAGTCAGATCCAGACCCTGGAAAAGCCCTAGCCATAGATTCAAAGCCCATGATACTTATTTAAACATGTTTCCAGGTCTGTGATGTCTTACAATGAAACTGATAGAGCAAGAGCAACTACAGCACTCAGCTGGGACACAACAAAACAAAGTTATCCAGAAGTGTCAGCAAGATACAGCCAAACGTCTCGCTTTTTGTCGCACTTTGGATTTACAGTAACTACAACTCTTACTCACTAGTTGTCATAGATATTGCAAGCTCAAAGCAATGAGGAAGAACGAGGAGAACACTGCCACTTGGTGGAAAAGGGGGATAGGAAACATTTGCAACTGCCCCAAGTAAAACTACTTTTACAACAATGTTCCATCTCCCCCCATCCCGAGTGAATTTCTTAACAGCATGGCTGGTGCGGCTCCCCCCGTGCCCCGCAGAACGCCCTACAGCAACGTGCCTGCTCCGTACCAGCTCAGCACTGGGCTGCCTCAGTACGCTGCACGGCAACAGTGTGCTTCTACCACTCCCCCAGTGCCAGATGGCTGTTTAGCCAGAATTCAAAAACACCCAGAAAAGGCTATTTCCTTTTTCACTTATGCATGAAGACATCTGTTAAGGACGAAATGGAACTCTGAAACTGCTGAAGTTCTCATCTGCCTCCCCGCTATTCTTCTCAAATCCTCACCTTCCTGCTAGCATGGCAGGAATGACATTTTACGTTTGTTTTGGGTTGTTTGTGGGTTTTTTTTAACATTTAACTTTAATTTACATTTTCGGTTCTTGCAGAGTTCCTACTGCAGAGTGTACCCAAGATATCAAATGCTTTTAATACATTTCTGTGCTTCCCTGCTGAAACTGAAACACTGCTCTGTGGCCATGTGTAGCTCTTCTTCGGAAGGGCAAAACACACCTGGACCGTAGCACGTAGAGCTCCCCGAAATCAGGAGGCTTTCTAAACAAGCCAACACGAAACGTCAGCAACATATTAAAGCAGTAGCCACACAACTCAGTGGTAAGATTTCCGTGGTGCACCATTACTCACACTAGAGCTACTACAATCTGATCTTGTTTTTCCTCTCTTTGCCAGATCAATGGAGAACCATTGCCCTGAAGTCTTAGAGCCCTTTTAGAAGAGACAGAAACACATCCAATTCCAACAGGGCCCTACTGCAGAAGTTGTGATGTACACCAAATTTATCTTTTAAGGAAAACCCATCTATTCTTTCACAGTACACATTTGAATCCAGCAGTTTTTACAGAAACATCTTGCTAGCACGCTTACCAGCCACAATGGCAAAAATTTAGAAGTAGAAAAAGGATAAAAGTGAGACATTACCTTTTCCTCTCTTCCAAAAAAAAAAAAAAGTAATTTATTTTTCTTGCAATAAGGAAAGGAGACAATACATTCCATTTCCAAGTGCCTCCTACCTGTACGCCAAAGGCATTAATGGTATTTCACACACTGATCATAGAACAGTTTGGGTTGGAAGGGACCTTAAAGATCACCTAGTTCCAACCCTCTGCCATGGGCAGGGACATCTTCCACTAGATGCAAGAGACTTTACCAGCTGCAGTACAGCTGCCAAGATTTTCAACTGTGTATCACTATAAATTCATAAAAATATTGGGGAAGCTGGAAGAAGGTGCTGCTATAGAACCGATTTAAGCAGAATGGCTAAACACATTCGTTTGCCTTTGTCTCGTCCTATCAAAGCCCTGTGCTAATTCAAATGCTCTGCAGAATTTCAGGTTGCAGCATAGTCCTCTGGTTTCCTTAGCAAACCTTAGAGACTGTCTGCATCCTTGAGGAAGGTATGGGATAAAATAAAGGCCCTTGCAATGGTCATTCACTCAGTATCCCACAAGACTGCTTATATTACATGGGGGATTGAACTAGCATAAAAATTTGAGTATATTTCTCCGTAAAGTTTCAAATGGACTTGGTCTTCTGTCTGTCTTCCAGCTTTTAGCCTGATTTTGTTCCTAAGTGCTGTTAAACATCTGCTGTTCAGCAGAAACAACATGTAATCTCAAGGTAAAGATGACTTCAGCTATTTACGATAGCTATCATCTGGGGATCTTATTTCACTTTTTAAATTTTAAATATAGCCATTACAAAACTGCCTCCTTCAGAAGGACAGAAAGAGAGCTGGAGACAACTGAATTGATTTGGACACATTTCATGACCTTTAGGAGCATAAGACCATTTATTCATAAAGTGGTTGCAGATGAAGAACATACTCCAACTAACACTGGTTGTAAGAGACTTCTGCACTGAATGCTCCATCTCCCATATCACTGCAAAACAGGTGAGATGCTGTCAGAAAACCTACCTCAGATCTAACTCACAGGGCGACCAAATTCATGAATGCAGACCTTGACAGTGACTCAGCCCACAGCCTAACTGGTTAACTACCTTTGGCAGAGGCCAGAACTAAAGTCAAAAACACGTTACAGCTACAAAAAGGAAAGTTTGAAACTAGCTATGGAAGATCACAAATGAAGACCAAGCCATGCTGTTAAGACTTATTCCTCTTGTACTGAACGTCCCCCCCACCACCACACCACACTTTCAAATACCTTTAGGTCACCAGCCTCAGGTTTTTCAGTCTCTGAATCGTCATCTTCCTACAAGACAAGAATTTACAGGATTAAGCTTACAGAGCAGGCTTGGCAAGAATCTGCACTTACAGCAAAGGGCTTGCATTCAGCAACACAGCAGCAGTCCAAGACCCTTTCCATGGAAGGTTGTCATGTCCCACCCACTCATGACCAGAAAACAAGTCCTACAGTCAGGGAAAGAAGTGTTGGGTTGGGTTTTGGTTGTTTGGGGTTTTTTTTAGGTAAAAGCATCACTCAGTAGCAGATGTCCCCACGAAACTCCTGCAGCTCCTGAGTGCTCAGAACTAGACAATAAGAAGTAACAGAACTGGGGAAAAAAGCATTTGTCATTTGATGATTCTGTCTCTTCCAGTTGGCTGGTGGGCTTTTTGCGCTTTCCCCCGTTTAGCAGTACTCACAAAAAAAGCAGCACTTGCGAGACCTGTTATACTCCCAAGCACACATCAGCAATGCACACAGGACACACAGCTGGCCTGCCACCCAACCAAACATGCAGGCCTGCTGAGGGACTGGCCTTGCACCAAGTTCCAAGGATCCAGTGATGCCAGCAGACACTGCATCCTTCTTATTTGTGAAGGCTATCGTAGCTTTGTTCGCAGATGATGTGAACTTGCACAGAAGGGAACCACTGACAAATTTCACTGTTTCAGGTAACAGACTCCATGCAGTTTTGATTTCTACCCAGAAATAAACCAAAGAACTGGGCAAATTTCTGCCCTATAAGAGCTTAAAATACCAAACTTGGCCTTGTGTAAAATCCTACACAACATGAGAAGTACACTACAGGGTTGGTCCCAGCTGCCCTACGAGCTAGCTCACTGGGGATCCTCGAGTTACCTATGTTTCCAGACATAAATACATACTCTGGGTTCAAAAAACGTTTGAGGAGCAGAAAATGTTTTCCATGCTCACATAATTCAGCGGAATAGTTTTTCCTCCAAACTTCACCATAAATTGCAACTTTGGCCCCAAAACAACAACTTGGTGTTTCAGCTTCAAAAAGAAAAATAAAAAAGAAGTGAGATGATTACATGCAACTGAAAGGAAGAGTTTACAACGAAATGCGCACCTTGGAGTATCAGCACACAAGCAAGTTCTGGCAAGGCAAGTTAAGAACAACCACACAATCATGTCAGTAAGTTCTAATTGCCTGAATTAATACGCATATCCCACAGAAGTGAGATATCAAACTCCTTCACTTCAGCTACTCTCTGGCTTATCTTTCTGGAACATGCACATATGCCAGTAATTCAGTCTTAACTGTCAAAGTTTAGTAACAGTACGTTTGTAACTCAAAAAGAACCACAGTACCAAATAACTGGGTGTTTATCACAAATGAGATTCCTCTCCTCTCTGCAGTCTGACCTATTTTACAAAGATAGAAGTAATTTTCAACAACGCAATAATGGGTTAAATCATTCACATTATAGGCAGGTAACTGAGACAGCTCCCAAAACCTCCTAATCTAGGAGGGGACATCTCTAACACATCAACAAACAAAGAAGCAATACTGAGAACTGCCTTTGAAAAGAAAGAGGCTTTTCAGTCACTTTTAAGACAGATACTATAAGCACAGAGCTGTTCAGATAAAAGCCCAGGACAACCTGAGTCCAACTCGCGCTGCTTTCTACAAACAACTCATAACCAATATAAGGCACTAGCACAGCAGTATCGAGGTAGTTCTCGATCCTAGTCAAAGAACACTTAATGTAAAAGACAAAGCATTGCTGTCCTGCAACAAGACTGGAGAGAAGGCATCCTGTGTAACCTGCACGCGTCTGTAGAGTAACCACAAACACAGGTGAGACCAACCGGCTGAACACCAGAGTGATGCGATCGATTGCCGTGACTGGAACAGCAACTTGCACATCCCAGATGATGGAGAGCTGCAACCTGCACTGACAACTGTGCATGCAATAAAGGCTACTCCTTTTACCTGTCTAACTAAGCACAAGCATCTGGATCACACCTACCGCTTTCTTTAATCTAAAGAGATCTCACTGAAGGAGGTTCTGGAAGTTTTGGATACAAAAAGAATTACTAAAGCACTAAAAAAAGCTTCACTACTTTGCTTAGCTAGATGCCAGGAGCAGACCCTGAATGCTACTGCTTGCACTTTCTCCAGTCAGCAACAGAACAAAAACAAAAGCAAGAACGAGAGACAGAAAAATTTCTTGTTTGCTATTTGGGAAGCCAGATGGCAGAAACAGAGAGCGTCTCATAGAGCCTGATCTAATGCACACAAAGTAGATTTCAATGAGGAAAGGCTAAAGTAACAGAGCCCTATTTCTTTCTTCTACCACATAGCCAGAAAACTGGAACACGGACAAGATAACACAGTCTTAATGTGGTGGTAAGCAAAAGGTTGATGTGAAAGAAAGGAGATGAGACCCGCCCTCCACACTCCCCCAAACTTACTGGTTTGCTCTTACAGATGTGACAGAACTATATATCCTTTTGTGCAATACAGCTGCACTCATGGATGGTGAACTACACATCCCATCTACAAATGGACGAATTATCTTGATGTTTGGGTGATGTTATACACATGCCAAGCACCTACGACAAACAACAGCCACTCATGCCTAGACAGGACACTGTTACATCAAGATAACCCGATGCAGCAAGTGGGTTTAGTTATACGCAAACGAATAACAGACATGACAGAACTCTGTTCCTTTTAATCCTCCAGCCGACCATGCAACAGTGTGTTCCTCATATACGTCAACTATGCTTAAAGAAAAGTTTTCATCTAGCTTGGCTGTTGGCTTGTACCAGCCTCCTTCCCCATGAAAGGGTCAAACAGCACTGACAGTTCGTAACGAGCCACACGAGCTGTGCCAAGCTGCTGATGGGTTTCAAGGCAAACGCTTTCTACTTGAAAACAAAGTGACTAGATAGAATCATGGAATGGGTTGAGTTGGAAGGGACCTCAAAGATCATCTAGTTCCAAACCCCCTGCCATGGGCAGGGACACCTTCTGCTACACCAGGTTGCCCAAAGCCTCATCCAGCCTGGCCTTGAACACTGCCGGGGATGGGGCAGCCACAGCTTCTCTGGGCAACCTGTTCCAGTGCCTCACCACCCTCTGAGGGAAGATTTTCTTCCATATATCTAATCTAAATCTCCCCTTTTCCAGTTTAAAGCCGTTGCCCCTTGTCCTGTCACTACATGCCCTTGTAAAAAGTCCCTCTCCAACATATTAGATGTATTTGGAGAATGCTAAAAGCCACACCAGGAGTCAGATATTCCAGGTTCCAGCTTGGGTTGCCGGTCAGGGGCTTTCCTTGGAGAAAGAAAAGCCTCGGCAACGCACGAAAGGGATGAGGGAAAGCTCTCAGAGCGGAGAGGTACTTACTGACTGCCTGCTGTTCTCATCATCCTCTTCCTCGTACCCGTCTTCATCCCCATCCAGGCGGGTGAAGTCATCGTCTCCGTACCCAACGGACACCAGGCCTCCTTTCTCTCCTAAGGAGAAAGAAAAAAGGGAAATCATGAGGAAACGAGGGGGGGAATTTCCTTCAT